TTGGTCGATGTGCCCGGGCTTGAGAGCGTTCAAATTTAAATGCAATGCGCGCGTCCCCGCCAAGCATGCCACCGGCCAATGAACGTGCTACCCCATGCAGCGCCGAAAGATTGCCGAAACATTCTATGCAATCAAATAGAATATAAGATTTTTGAACGATTACGAAAATTTTCGTGAATTCAGTCAACGATATAAATGAATGTATGATTAACATGGGTCGAGTAGGTTATAGTAATTGTCACAACACAGTTTGCTTAACATATAATCATAGACGTTTTGCTATTTACCTGTGATTTATTTTCGCACTTTCGTATGTGTCGTTTATTGTTTTCCGCCATTTCATTACGAAAAAAAATTAATTTTTCTCCCACATTGAGTCACGGGCAGGAACTGAGACGGTACAATTTTAAGAGAACTGTATTGTTAACTTACAAAGTACTTTGTGGTACTATTTTGTGATATCGGATTATCAGGTTTTTCTTCCGACACTCGCATATGCAGCTCAGACGCGTTCGTACGAAGTTCCCGGCGTGTTTAAAGAATTTCACATTCAAGCCGTAACTGTATACGGCTGTAATTTGATCGGTAATAGTTCATTCCTTTCGATAAGCCAAACCGATCCGTTTTTACCCTTTTGAATCGCCATGACTATGCATTGTCCCACACGCTCAACGCTGCAACAAACACGTGTGTTCCCGAAAAGCTCTTTATATAATTTTCTTATTACTATGTTGTAATAATATAATAGTAACGCTGTTAATCAGTTTTGCATCTATTTCTTAAATACCGTATTCTTATGCAAGACGTGTGCGTTTTTAATGCTAATAGCAATATTAGTAATAACAGAACGCGAAGAGGCGCATTTAAGAAAAAGAAAGCGGCATTCCTCTCTGTCAAAAATCTTGATTACGAAATAATCTTAATTCTACTTATTAGCAAAAGTGATTGCTGCTAATGGGTATCATACAATGAACGCTTTTATTATATGTACAAATGTTTTGTATACTCACGATTGAGGGTTAGTCAAATCTGTGGTGTCGTCATACAACTTAAAAGTATCTTTGTCGACAACATCGAGAAAAGTTTCCTCTGAAGTATTCATCAGTGGCGTTGCAACGAACGATGGACACATTGTTAAAATGCGAACTCCCGTTTTACCATAAAATTTCTGTAAAAGAGATAATATTTCAGCGAGACCCTTTTTACTACGGATAATGTATTATTATTATTGCATGTGAAATATTTGAACGTGTATGAAGATTACACGGTTATAGGAAAATGATATATTACAATGTCTTTAAAAGAAAGTTGTATCTTTCTCCGAACGAAATTATTTCGCGTAAAGTCGAGATTTGTGCGTAAGTGTACCAAAAGAAGAAACCCTGTTCATCAAATGTAACGTATAAAAGAACTAAACCAATAACTGAACGATCAAATGCAACGATTGTATGCAAATGTATCTAAGAGATGTTCTTTTATGCGTGGTCTACAATACGTGGAGTAAGCGTGGAGTAAGGAGTAAGGGAGAGCCCTAACTTGTAGCTTTTGGTGTAAGGTAGCTGAAATACGGGCATAATTTTTAAAATATTTGTAACACTGATTGATGGCATTCTGATTCACCGAGAGTAAGCCTATGAGCTGAAGTAGGAGTAAGAAATAAAATGGATTTATTTCCTTACTCCTACTCCTTACTCCATCTTACTCCATGTATTGTAGACCAGTCTTTAAACATCCTTTACGGCTTCAACAAAACACTTTCGACATTTTTTAACCACGTTTTCTATTATTTATGTGTGCGCATTTCCCGCACTTTCTTTGGAAAAAATTACATGGAAATAGAGTAATTGTAAAAGTCTATCTGCTAATAACGCTGTCAGATTTATATTAGTCGAAATATATAAATTACCTCAAGATTTGCTCCAAGTCCGACGACAGCATATTTTGAAGAACTGTATATTGAACATACAGCGAAAGGGGCAAGACCAGACATAGACGATATATTAACTATGGTACCACCTTTGCCACCTTTATGTTTGCCCATATAATCTAATCCAAGCAGCGAGCCGCGAATCAGCGCTACCTATATAACGTTGTGCAATAATTCACGCATTATTTATATATTTGCGATTAACAAAATTACGTTTCATATTTATATACATATAATACAAAAAATATATGTGTATATAATACTCTCTAATATATTTATTTCTAATAATTAAATCAATCATTTTATATAAAACGCAATTTATTTCCGATCAATGCTCTCATAAAGTAAATTTTAATGGAGCAATTAAATAATTCAATTAATGAGCTGAAGTATAATGTTTTATTACTCACGACATTAATAGCAAACGTTTTCTCAACACAACGGTCATTACATATCCCGGCATTGTTAACAAGTATGTCGAGACCATTGAGAGCCTTAACAACCTGCTTGAATGTTTCTGAAAATTAAAGCAATAGGTTAGTGCATTTACTGAACATTTCATGTTCCAAAGGTGTAAAATAATTGTCATAATTATTGATGATCAGTAGATTCATAAGAGAAACTCGACAATTACCGCTGTACACTTCCAAGTTCGTTATATCAATCGGAGAAAAGATGACACGGTCTTTTCCAAATTTTTCTTGCAAAGCCTTTGTCGCGTCATAACTACGTGCTACCGGCAAATCGAGGATGGCGACTGTCTAAGATTAGAATAGGGTAGAGAGATAGAAAATACCATTTTTGTCTATTCTTTTATTATAAATTAAAGTACCTTCGCGCCTTTGCGTAATAATTCTTCGGTAATGTTGTAACCAATGCCGGACCCGGCTCCTGTGACTATCGCCGTTTTATTTTCCACATTGTTCATATTGTATTATAGATATTATTGTATTGAGAAGATTAAAAAGAAGATAAAAAAATTGTGCACGCTAAGAAATGCTTGGCGGTGCGATACTTTTATGCGTTAAGGAAACTTGTGCACAGTTGAATTATAGGGAAGATAAAGACAACTTTGCAAACTTTTAAATAGTTTATTTCTAGACTTATCACCAAATGTTCTATGATAATTAGTTGTATCTAAATAATTATGCAAGTTTAGAATAATTCTGAATTTCAATTATTTAAGATACGTCTACATTTAATTGTAATAAACAAGACGTTCAATGACTGCCAGAACGCTATGTGGCAAATATGTGTTGTGTGTACATGTGTGTGTGTGTGCGTGCACATGTGTGAAGGTATATACACACTGCAAAACATGTCCACTCTAAATTCCGCGAAATTATATCGGAAAGAAGAGACTATTTTTCACTTTAAGTAAACGTGAAATTAAAGCGAAATTGCGTATACAGGACATTGGCCTAATAATGATGTCCTGTATAAATAAAAGGGAAATTTAGCAAATTTTTTATTTTTTCCCCGATATATTGTAAGAAGGAATTTATCACCTGCAAGACAACATTTTATTGTATAAACCATGTATCGCGAGACACGGTACTGTCTCGCGCCAAGTATAATAGTATTATACATATACATATGTTGTACTTTATACATGTGCATACATACATTATACATATTATATTTTACATTATACATTGTACATTATACATATACATGTACATTATACATATACATATACATTATACATTGTATATTATACATATACATATACAATACATATACAATACATATACATATACAATATAAATATAAAACATTATATATACTATCAATAAACTTATGAGTTTATCAATGTTATATAAAACACTTATTTCTTAAATTATTTATTGAGGACGATGGTCCAATACTTTTTCGTATAATTATACATCCAGCTATTGGCTTGTTAAAATGCCTTTAAATTTTAATAAGAATTGAGAACTTCATTCAAGATCCTATCCACTCCCATATTGCTTCGCAACAATTAGCGACAAAATTTATAATCTTTACAATATCCGTTATAATGTCTGTCTTAACAGTATAACCATTACTGGTCCTACTTATATAAATTATTATACAATAATATGACACTTTATTTATTATATAAAGGATTTTATATATAAACGCGTATAAAGGTTTCCTACATGCTTGAATTTTACATCTAAACGGCAGCATAATACTGTGATTTGACCTCATACGGTTGCTCATTATTCTTAATGATCCAAATTGATCCGTTTTTCCCCTTTTGAATCGTCATGACTGTAGATTGTCCCACATGTGCAGCACTGCAACAAATTAAATTGCTTGTTATGTCCTCGAAAAGTTTCCTATATAATTCTCTTATTACTATGTTATAATAATATGTTAGTGACATTGTTAATAAGTTATGTATTTTTTTCTTAAATAAGATATTCTTATGTAAGAGGCACGCATTTAAAAAAAGCGCTAATAAGAATATTAAAAATAAAATAATTAAGAAGTGCATTTGATAAAAAGAACGCGGTCTCTGTCAAAAATTCTAATTACGAATTAATTCTAAATCTAATTATAAATTATATGTTAGCAGCCAAAGTGGTTGCTAATAGGTATCATAGTATACATACGAGCGTTCCTATTATACATACATATATACTTACGTTTGAGGTTTATGAAAAGATTCGTTCGTATTCTTTTGAATAATATCATTGTCGATAATATCGAGACAATTGTCTTTATCAACCGTTATTGCCGTTGCTGTGAACGATGGACATATTGTTAGAATGCGAACTCCTGTTTTATCATAAAATTTCTGTAAAAGAGATAATATTTTAGTGAGACCCTTTTTACTACGGACAATGTATTATTATTATTGTGAAATATTTGAACAACGTGTATGAAGATTACACGGTTATAGGAAAATGATATTACAATGTATTTAAAAGAAAGTTGTCTTCCTCTGAACAAAATTATTTCGCGTAAAGTCGGGATTTGTACGTAAGTGTACCGAAAGCAGAAACCTTGTTCACCAAATGTAACATATAAAAAAACTAAACCAATAACTAAACGATCAAGTACGATTGTCTACAAATGTGTCTAAGTGATGTTCTTTTAAATATCCTTTATGGCTTCAACAAAAGTAGAGTACCATCAAAACTTTTTTATCACGTTTTCTTTATTTGCGTGCATTTCCCATACTTTCTTTTGAAAAAAACTAAGCTGAAATATAGCAATTGTAAAAGTCTATCTATTAATAATATTGTCAGAATGCCGATTTGTATTGTTCGAAATATAAATTACCTCAAGATTCGCTCCAAATCCGACGACAGCGTATTTTGAAGAACTGTATATTGGACATACAGCGAAAGGGATAAGACCAGCTGCCGATGCTATATTAACTATGGTACCACCTTTGCCACCTTTATGTTTGCCCATAAAATTTAATCCGAACAACGAGCCGCGAATCAGTGCTATCTATAAGTATCGTTTAATGTTGTGTAATAATTAACGTGTTATTTATGTATTTGTGATTAACAAAATTATAATATTTAGACACCAGCACTATATTAAAAAATATTTAAACACTAACACCCTGTCACGGCTCTTAGTCCTTTCTTCCTTCGAATTTGTGTTTATCACACATATTTGAGCCATACGAATTTTATTAATTTGTTAACAGAATTATGTTTCATATTTATATACACATAATACGAAAAAAAATACTTTCTAATATATTTATTTCTAACAATTAAATCAATCATTTTATATATAACGTAAATTATATTTCAAAGTTTTTACTTAATGACAATTTATTTCCGAACAATGCTCTCAAAAAGTAAATTTTAATAAAGCAATTAAATAATTCAATTAATCAGTTGAAGTGTAATATTTTATTACTCACGACATTAACATCAAACGTTTTCTCGACGTGAGGGTCCTGACATATCCCGGCATTGTTAACAAGTATGTCGAGACCATTGAGAGCCTTAACAACTTGCTTGAATGTTTCTGAAAATTAAAGCAATAGGTTAGTGTATTTACTGAACATTTCATGTTCCAAAGGTGTAAAATAATTGTCATAATTATTGATGATCAGTAGATTCATAAGAGAAACTCGACAATTACCGCTGTACACTTCCAAGTTCGTTATATCAATCGGAAAAAAGATGACACGGTCTTTTCCAAATTTTTCTTGCAAAGCCTTTGACGCGTCATAACTACGTGCTACCGGCAAATCGAGGATGGCGACTGTCTAACATAAGATTAGAATAGAGTAGAGAGATAGAAAATACCATTTTTGTCCATTCTTTTATTATAAATTAAAGTACCTTCGCGCCTTTGCGTAATAATTCTTCGGTAATGTTGTAACCAATGCCGGACCCGGCTCCTGTGACTATCGCCGTTTTATTTTCCACGTTGTCCATATTATTGTATTGAGAAGATTAAATATTGTGAACCGTAAGACATCTGCGATACTTTTGTACGCCAAATTTTTACGCAGTTAAATTATAGGGAAGATAAGACGACGTCTTATCTTATCTTATCCTCAAACTATTGAATATTCTCTTCAAATGTTCTACGACAATTAGTAGCTATAATTACAAATTAGTATATGGGAGTGTTTTTCATTTTAATTATTACATATAACTATATATGTTCAACAGAACCCAAACGTGATCAATATGCATGTACATATGTGTATACAATATATATACATCTACATATGTATTTGTAAATGTATATATGTATTTTTATGTATACAATCATATTTCTCTCTGACAAAAAAAGAAACAACTATAAAAGGTCCGAAATATCCGAATGTGTTTTTGATTCAATCTAAATTTCACCTGGAATCAAATTAAAATCATCTTATTTTTTTATTTACATGTATTCGAGTAATTTTACAAACATAATAAAATGAGATGGGATGCAGTGAAGCAAATAAAAAAATATATATATATACTTATGAACTTTTGCAAAATTGGTTGTGATAATCGTCATCGCATAAATATTTATTACAACTCGTAAAGTAATTGATAAACACAGCTTACAACTTTATATCTTTTCTTGTCTAGGTTATAATAAATTATCCTCGTAGACAGATTAAAATTGATAATTTACATCTAAGTAATTAACAATTTATGTTTATGACCTCGAATTTTTAGTTTTAGACACAATAAGCTCCAAACTTGCTTAGAACTTTTAATTTTAATGATAAATTATGAAAATTGCCACGATATGTACATAACATTTTATTTTAGCATTCTATGCATCATTAAGTTTGTTAGAAAAAAGTAAAATCTAAAAAGTGTCATTATATTATCGCTGCTCTATTCTCATGAAGTCGATATATTATTAGCTGTTGCAATGCTGTATACTTTGTCACTATTAGACATTTCAATATTTAATTAATTATTATGTACTTTTACTAATAAATATCGGTGATTAATTTAGTGTAAGCGGTAAGAATTGATACCGATATTAAACTTTTCAGAAAGAGAAACAAGGCTTTTTGACAGTTCCATGACTTTTGCAACATAAGTGCACTGTATACGTTCATTGAAACAAATAATGCAACGTTGTTGTTTCTTGCCCTTTTACAATTAGAAATTATTTAGATTTACACATTATTCATTTACGTATGTACATAAAAGATAAAGTTTAATCATTGAATTTGAAGCTTAACAATGAATCTTGTCGAATTGTGATACGGTAAAATTTTATGCAGCGTTGCAAAATCGCAAAATCTATTTCTTTAATTGTGCTTGAATTATATATTCATTTTTAAAAACCGTGAACGTATCGAGATGCCGGTGTCCGTGTAATAAAATGGTTAATCAGCATAAATTGTGCAGGCTTTACACCGAAATCTTCAAATCGGGGTAAGACGGTAATTTCACGGCGTAAGCAGGCTGATTGTTTTCGCTGACAAATACTGCACCGTTCTTTCCTTTTTCGATTAATTCCACGATAGCGCTTGCCACATGCTCAGGTCTGTTAAACGAAAGAAACACTGTGCAATTCTACCACAAATCCTTCTCTTACGCATCAATCAGTTGATTAACATAATCACAAAGGTAATATAAAAAAAAAAAAAGATTTGATATGCTTTAAATATGATTTGTGAAAAAATATATACATTGAAATTTATATTTCAATTTTTTATATTATTTGAAGATTTATTCTAACTTATTCTGTTTATTATAATTATTTGGTGCAAAATAATTTCTATCACGTGAAAAAACATAGCAGTATTTGGCACCTACGATTGACTTTCCATCGTTGTCATCTCGTTAGCAGCGATCTCGTCGTCGAGGAGATCCATTGCGTAGACTTTGCTTGACATGAACTTCGAAGCCAGGCCGGTGGTAGTAAGACCAGGACATATTATCAATACTCGTACGCCTGTTTTGTCGTAGAAAGTCTGGGTACAAGAAATATTAACACGAAAGTCCACAATACTCTAAATATCCCAGCATCCAGTAGAAGGTCGGTCAACGATAGCGCGAATAACTCGATACGAAAAGCAGACAAGTTTCGAACTCGGACATAGAACCGCGTTCGTTAATTATTTATTGAAATCGCATTTTTACCACTAGCGACGAGGTGAATCCGACAACAGCGAAATGCGTCCCGGCATAAATTGGTGCGAGCGGATTGCCCTGCAAGCCGACTATGGAAGACATATTGACGATGGTACCACCTTTTCCGCCCTTGTGCCTCCCCATGTGATTCAAGCCCAATATCGTACCACTTACAACTCCTTTCTGATTGTACATACGATGAAAGAATAAGACCGTCCAAAATCAATTGTATCTTCGGGAATAGCGAGTCAATTCCTCGTTACTTACGTAATTAATGTCAACCATCGGCTCCCATTCCGCGTCGTTCATGACTCCAGCGTTATTGATAACAATGTCCAGCGTGCCGAATGACTCTATTGCCTTTTTGAAGCAACCTGCATAAATTGTAAATGTATAACGAAAACTGTTATTTTTATATCGTAATGTTACATCATACATATTTTTGATTGCACAGTTTAGCAATCGATTATCACAATATTATACCCGCAAGTTGCTTGGCATTCGCCACGTTTCCAACGAGAAAAAAAGCATGACCTGCGCCAAATTCCTTCTCCAATTCCGCAACAGCACTTTCGCCGTTCGAATCGGGCAAATCTACGATTGCAATGGCCTGCAATGAGCAATTATTAAGACAAAATGCACGAACCCGATTAAAATATCACTCATCTTTTATTTAAGCCTAAATTTCTCGCGATTATTCGACCCACTGTCGGTCCACATTAGGTCACATAACCCGAGCTCTATTTAATTTAATGTAAAAAATATGTTATACGATAATCTGCAGGAAATGCACCAAATTATCTTATGCAATTTGATTTTGCTGAATTACCTTCGCTCCGCTTTGAAGTAATTCTCGAGCGGTACAATAGCCGATGCCGTTGGCTCCGCCGGTGATGAGCACGGTTTTCCCTTGAATCTTCATTATTTTCGCTCCAATAACGCTCCAAAAAACGTTTTAACTATAAGGATATAGTTTTAGAATTCTGTTCCTTTTACGAAAATTTTCTTAACTGTACGCTTATAAACGCGTTGTATTCGAGGTGCCTTTGGCAGCAAGAGAAATCTCACACTGACGGAGCGATCCCGTCCATCATCGATCCGCAAATGAATTTGCCAGATGCATAAGTCGCGGATGTTGAAATTTGAGAAGTCATATATGTGCATGGTAAAATATCGGATGCGGGTAGAGATAGAAATCGGATAACGCGATCTCATTCTCGAGGTAAACAAGGTCGGATTTGCGCATCTAGACGTGAGAAGTGTGAGGAAAAAAGTGGCTCGTGTCGCACGAGGGGCACGTGAAATATAAAAACCGCTATAAAAATATGAGAGACAATTCATCCAATTTTTAACGTTGTGTAAGACATCATTATTAACGCGGATAGGAGTGTCGCCTTGAGAATCTGAATAGAATCGAATTTATACAAACAGAAATATGTATATATCATTTCCTTAATTATAATCCTTAGTTCCTTGCGATACGCATCAAGCTAAATTATAATTACTATTTTTTTTGTAATTTAAAACAATTACGGAAAGATTAGGAAAGTTTTCGTAAGAGAAGCAGAGTTCTAAAGCTATACATATATGTACAGTTGAAGTTTTTGGAACGTTCTTGGAGCGAGAGTTTAAAATAAGCCCAGATTGTAAATGTAAATGTTACTGTAAAATGCAAATGTTAAATATATGTTAATAGGTTAAATACGAATTGTAGAATGGCAAATTCAAACAGACAGAATGTATAAAAGATCAATTAAAATGCACGAACCAGTGTAATTATGTATTAAGTTAAAGACGGTATAGTATAAGAAGGCATTTAATGTGTGAGACAAGGCTAAGGTGAGTCGTGCGAGTGTATTAAAGATATATTGTAAACCAAATTTACTTCTTGGCTTTTTATGCTTGAAATGAAACAAATTATTTCTATTGGTATCTGTAATTAAAGCTCATTCTAAAGTTGTGCTTCAATTTTCAGTCGCACTTACAAAGATATACGTGTGAGAGGAAGGCGTCGCTTGTCCGTCGGTTTTATTAAAAGGCAATGCATTTTATTGACGAGATTAGCAACATACATATCGTGTAACGCATAACGAAACGTAACGTCGCCACTGATTGTTTCATCGATGGAAAGCTACGGTAAAGAATTACTCGAACGGGCGATAGTATCCGAAAACAAACCTCACTAACTAACTAGCGCTAAACATCTGACCGTTTTACCGATCCGAGCTCGGCAATTCGATGGTTGCAATTGCAGCTGCAACATCGGACAAATTGCCTCGTAATTCCTAATACCTAATATCGAAAAAACGTGATCACGTAGAGTGTCGTGCTTGCACTTAGGCTACAGATTCTAACTCTATCTCGCTACACCGTCTCTTAATATTTTTATCTTCCTCAAAATACTGTAGAAAAATTATGGACACGATTAGATATACATATAGCTTCATTCGTGAAGTGATCGTCCGACGGATTTTGGTTTAATTGCATTCGCGGCAACCGATGCAGATAACTCTCGAAACGTCGCGTAAATCGTCGAACATCGAAGTGGAAAATCGGCACGAATAAAATGATCGATTTTCATATCAATTGTTTTTGAAAATCTTAACTGGCCTAGCCTCTTTATCGATTAACTTGATTTATTTAAACAATATGTTTTTTTTAGGACGAGCTAATTCTATCAGTCGGTTACTTTAATCACGTTTATATCAATTCGTAAATATATTCGGTATGAAAATTATATCTGATCGTGTTTGTTTTTACGCTTTTATTTAATCTATTATTCCACTTAAAGATTTTTAATTACATCCATTATTTTATTCTTTAGTAATTAATAGATCTGCGAAATTTCGTGAAGGGAGATCCTTCGTGGGTCTCGAGTTACTTGCATTAGTCATTTATTAGAAACGCATGCGATCTTTCTCCCTTCCATTTTTGTACGTTTTGAGGACGCGAAAATAAATGCTCATTTATTTCATTTTATCTCTTTCATACGCTCTACCCTTGTCTTCCTCGTACAAGCAATAAATACAAAGTGTGTCTCTGTTATACTCGACCTGGCGAAACGCGATTACATTACATGCAGCATTATTAAACGGAGTGGCGTTGAAAGAATCATTGATATCATGTTGTACGTTAGAAAAACGAGTAAGTCACGCGGCTGCGAAGTGCGGCAGGATCTGAATGTTCGTTGCGACAATTTCCGTCAGGGCCAGCGCACAGGTGTTCTCGTAACGCCTGGAAATTCGTCAGAAATTCCCACGGGTTCCTCCAGCGCGAAAATTCTTCGCTGCCGAGCGTAGACGCCTGTGCGAAAACCGACGCGAATTCGCAACGTGGATGCGGGACGGATGCGAAAGCTTGCTGTTTTCTCTTTTTACATTGTTTTACACCGTTTTTCCTTTTGTAACAAATGTTCCCGCCGTCGCGACGCGTACCTCCGCGTCGATCGCGCGGACCTCTTTTAAATATTGCGACTATCTATCTCGCGTAATTATCGAATCCCGAGAAACTCGCCGCGTTCTCCGTCGCGGGTTTACCGCTGTGGCAGTGTGGGACGTATCGAAAGGATCGCCTATCTATCGAAAGTCGGAGGTGGCTAAACATCGAGTAATGCATTTAAAAAGGTCGTTAAAAAGGAACGATGAACGCATTGGTCTTCCGAAAACGTTTTGGTACGAAAGTACGAGCAGCTATACGTTTCGCTCGCGTTTCCGCCTCTCTGACAGCGCGACGGGATATATACCTCGATACAAATTACAGTTAATTGTGCGGTACGGCATAGATATTTGCAGCGAAGCGAGGAAGAATCATTGCACACACGTGCGCGGGACCCTCTTAGTGCTTCGTAAAGCTGATCTCGTGCGGCGGCTGGTCCTTCTCCACCATCCACACGCTTCCGCTCTTGCCGGTGCTCAGCACGTTCACCAGCGCCTTCGCCACGTGTTCCGCCCTGCGGTATCGGTTGTCTTTTTTAACTTTCCTACGTGCTAATTTTATTCTACGTCTCTATACTCGGAGAAAGTATTATCTGTACAATATATCGTAAAAGTAAAACTTTACGCTATGATTGTGTCTTCTTTAAATAGCGAAATTGCTTTGAACATCTGAAATGATGCCGGGAAACTAGGAAATACGTCAGCCGATAATTATTCAATGCGGTTCATTCACAGTTAAATGGAGAGGGGAATGGTGTGGCCATACCTTTGAGGAATTGACGAAACCATATCCTTTTGCCAGGCATCCTCGTATCGAGCCAAAAGAAGCTTTCTGTTGACGTCACGTACCAATTTCGTATCTGTGGCACCCGGACAAAGTGCCATCACCTTAACGCCCGTCAAATCTACGTGATATTGATCCTTTTCAAGAATCAAGAAGAAAATTAGTACACTTGTCTTGTACCTAATTTAATAAGAGATATGTAAGCTGACAAGTTATTAAATTATAATGCGAAGGAATAAAGGAATAAAGGAAGGTCGTAACAGGGTGTGAGTGTCTAAATATTTTATATTAACAAATTTTGCAACAATATTACTTCAGCCAGGGTTTGAACCTGCACAGTTGGAAAATTTGTGTCTTCTTGTTAAAGAAAATGCCGGTTAAAATTTTTGTGTTGAATGTTTAACACATTTATGTGTTAATTTAACATATTGCTCTTGTGTTAATTGACCTCTCAAATATCAAATTATTAGTACTTGAAAAGAAATGTTAAAACAACGCAATGTGCACTTATTTTTTAATCTTACGCAATACATGTGTTACATATTTTTAGTAACAAGATTTATCTGTTAAAATTTACGGAATAAAATGTTGATTTCATCCTATATAACATAAGTTTCGAACCGTCGTTTGACTTATTACATCTGTAAAATGTAAAACTTACATTTTTAAATTTATTTTACCATTAAAAATATGTTAATTTTACACAAAATTTATTTTAAACTATCTTGAGATTTGCATTTATTTGTTAAGATATTAACAGAATATTACTGTGATCATTTAACATATTTATATTATCTTAAGTGAACACAAAAATTTGTGTGGGCCGTTTGGGACATGTGATATCTGTTAAATTTATCACAAATTTTTCAACTGTGTGGGCCTCCCTCTCGCTGGACGAGTGTCTCGATCAATTTTGCCTCAGTGATCGAGAATTGGTTGAGACGCCCGCCTAGTGAGAGGCAGGTCCAGGTTCAGAGCCCCTGGCTGAGGTAATAGTTTTTGTGCAATAAATTTGAAATATGAAATATTTAGACACGAACACCCCGTCACGGTTCTTAGTTCTTTATTCCTTCGAATTTGTGTTTATCACAGTTGAGCCATACGAATTTTATTAATTTGCTATTAAATTCTACTTTCTTAAACGTAAATCTTGTATAAGTTTCTCGTTCAGTCTCTGCAAGTAATCAGAATCAATTGAAACTTTGACGAGCCCATATTCGTCGGTTGTCCCGAGACAATAGTTGCAATCGATAGCATAGATAAAAAGAGGCTTCTCACCCCAAAAGCTCTGGTGAAGCTGACAATGGCCGCTTTTGTCGCGGAATAAATTGGCACGCTGACGTAAGGGTTGATGCTGGTGTTGCTGCCAGTATTAATAACGACTCCACCCTGGCCACCCCTGTCGGTGCCCATAAATCGTTGAGCAAGCAAAGTCCCGCGTATTACTCCATTCTACAATTATATTTGCGGGGACATCAATGTCTGTCACGCACACACGTGTGTCACAAATATAAGAAAATATTACTTTACGAGGCACCGTGAGTTTAATAAAGTTGCGCGAACACATACAGATGTGTGCTATAAGATCGTCTTGATTGGAGAGATAAATGAAACATCGGAAAGCGAGGAAATAAAAGGCTCTCATAAAAGAACGTCGTAAATCTTTCAATGCATCCAAGACAAATCTTTCGAAACACATGGTGGTTGGCATGCAAAAGCACATTGCAAGAAATCTGTCGGATGTAGTCGCTTACGAGATTAATGTCTACTTCAAGCTCCCAAAATCGGTCATTCATGATACCAGCATTGTTGATAACGATATCGATATGACCGAATTCCGCGATCGTTGTCTGAAACGATTCTGCAAATTGAATTGCATCATACGCTAAATAACAATTGCATCACAAAACGATATACGTATACGTATGCATTAGTCACTTATGCAGATAGAAATGATAAATTAACTCTGGATTAAAGACCACGAGTTATTTATACCTTCGAATTGCGGATAATCCGTCACGTCACATTGAGAGAAGATCACGCGATCTTTACCGTACTTTGCGGCCAGCGTTTCCACCAGTTTCTCCCCTTCTTCAGTATTTATATCGCATATAGCCACCTATATAATAAAGTATGTAATAAAGCACTGCCCTGATCAATTTTACGCCGATTATATGCTATACGAATTGTTTGAAAGAAAGATCTCTTTGTACTTTTATAAATAAATTTAAATTAAGATTGTTATACGCAAGACACTGTTGGAAAATTAATTGAAAACTTTCTAAAGGAATGCATTTGTCGTCAGTAAAAGAGTGTTGATTACATAAAATGCGATTGTGCAATACAATAGAATAACACGATTATTCCAATAAACATGTAAAAAGATGCAATGTAATGAGCATATTCATGTGTTCGTTGCCAACGATAACAATTCTTTCCTTGAAACTCGAGGACGCGATAAGTTTTTTTCCCTCTGTCTGAAAGGAGTCTAAATATAAATCGGTTGTTTTGAAAGAAAACGCGCGTCGACGAAAACTTCGAAATGCGTGTTTTGCGCGAAATTCCAATTTGCCGCGTTGAAACGTGATCTCGGTCCTCGTCGCTCGGAAAAATCGAACAATGGCATTACTGTTTTCTTCAAAAGGGAATATCTCAACAATACAACGAGTACAAAGTTACAAAGAGTTATTGAGTAAATACTGTTTTTCCTTAATTATAATGTACCTTGGCACCCTGATTCAAGAGCTCGACGGCATACGCTTTACCGATGCCGGACGCGGCTCCTGTTATTAGGGCAACTCGCCCTTTTATTTCCATTTTCTTTAGATTGTTATCTTCTCCGCTAGGATTTTATCTGCAGACAGAACATTTGACAATAGAACGATATCCGATCAAATTTTGATAATGTTTCTAACTAACAATATCGTAATATTGCGAAGAGAACTGAGCTTATCTACAGTCAATCGAACAATTTGGACGTTTCCACAAATATTATAGATTACACGTTTCATCTTCATGTGTCCGTGTGTCCGTTAATTTAAATTTAATTGTTACTTCTGAAAAATTGGCACGCCAGAAATCTCACTAAATTTCTAGACTTGTTTGTTTCACCTTGTCGCCCGCTCGTTCGCATATTTTTCGAAGGAAGGCTCTCGTACGAGGAGAGAGAGAGAGAGAAAGCCAGAAGCAAAAAATAGCCAATCAATATACGCCGTGAACTTTTTTAATCCTTTCTCTATTGTTCTATTCTTCGCACGATGCGTCGATCAATTCATTTGCATTATTAAGTACGTAATAAATTAATTTACCACTAAATACTTTATCATTTCGCGCAACTGATCGCGCAACGAAAGACATTCGAAGAGGGCACGAAAGAAACGTGAAGATGCTTTTTCATGAAGATCAAGATAACTGCACGTCCCTGCTATTCTCTCTGAATCTTAATTCTCCGCTCGAGGGATTGATTCAACCTCGTTGCAGGAGCGGAGGAGGGCATTCACGGCAGCGAGCGCGCCGTCCTTCCACCTGTCACGTTGATTAGCACGTTCGGCACCAGCGAGAAAGCAAAGATATTGACGATCGCAATTTACATTAGTGCAATTCACACTTCTCACCCCGATACTACAGAATTTTTCGAATTCGTCCGTGTCAAAACTCCCGATATCCCGTTAAACATCCCTCCCTCCCCCACAGCCTGGTCACAGCTAAAAATCCGCCTGCCGCACGCCGTTTGATTCTCTCCCTCCGTCCATCGTTGAGATTTGAACGTTCACCGTTTCGTTTCTCCCTCCGTACCTTTTTTCGATTTCTCCCCTGACGTCTCGCAACAGGCGCGAAGCTGGGCAGGTCGGAGGTAGCTCGCGGTGCTCGGAGCAGCGGTCCAGACGGTCGCGTCTCTCCCCCGTCGAAAAGGAGCGATTGACGGCAGCGAGGCAACCCCGGGGAAGGTGTGGTTGGTGGTGGCTGATGGTGTACTGGCTGACTGACGGCCGCGACGGTCGGGGTGCACACCCGGTATAGCCCGATATTGATTGGCGCGTCTGCGTGCCATGCGGGTGTGCGCGTCGCCGGCCGGTGCGTGCCCTTCACGCACGTGCGTAAATGCCGTACGCCCGCGATCCCTCGGCCGACTATCCGGCGGTCTTCCACGTCGGTCCCGTGGTCCCTCTTATTTTTAGAACCGCCGCCGAAAAAAAGCGACCGCGCCCCAAAAGCGAAAGTTCGAAAGTCCTTTTCGCGAAAGGTTCGCGGCACAGCGCGAAATTTGCTCGATTCTAGTTTCAGGAATTGCTAAAAGGTAAAAAAAAAGAAGTAAGTTAAACCGAGTTTATAGCTAATTTGCACCACTGGAAATGGATGTAAGGGGGAACAATGTATTTCTGTTCTCTCGCGCTTAATATTTATGTATATTGATTTTATGTTACGTTGTTATTACGATAAGTCGTTTTCCTTTTACATTTCAGGCAACATGCGTGCCTATGTATTTTGTTAGGACAAATAACTCGGGCAGCTCCGTCTTTAATGCTAAAACAGTTCTACTCGCGTGTTAAAAAATTGTCACGTAAAATTATAATCATGATTGATGACGTAATAATTAAGTTTTGCAAGGAACGCGACGCGAAGAAAAAAATTATTCAATATTTAAAGTGTGTTACGTATCGTTCTTCAAGTTACGCAAACTACTTGAATATATACTCTTAATTTAAAAAGAAAAATCTTAATCAGTTTCTTTTCTTTTAAATTTCACACGCACAATACATAAAACATTATGTATTAACATACTTTTTAAGATACTAACGCCCGACGCATAAAACGGTTGAATATTGAAGAATTGCTTTGCATGCTTTTTATTTTTGTGTAAAATACATGAAATATTAAATATTAATATATCAATTAGAGTAACACTTATTAATCTTGAATATTGAAATATTGTACCCGGTATTGACTCTGCATTTTCTAAATTAACTTATTAATCGGCGTTAAATGTTTATTTAATTTAATACCAATATTACGATTTAGCTGTTCCATTTTATAAAGTTTAATATACGTGAAAAATTATTGCTTGAGTAAATTATCGTTAATCGATTAAACTAGACGAAGATTATTATTTCTCGTGTTTAATAAAATATATGTTTATAATGTGTTTATCACAGACATTTTTTATTAAAAAGTTATAAAAAGTTCAAAATATTCATTTGTTAAAATCTGGCAAGAGAACATAAAAAAATTCTAATTTTTATATAACAAAAAATCCCTGCGTACACGGAGAGAATTTTTCAAGTAATCGTGGGACAACATGGCATCTTCAAGAACTTTACGAGAGTTTTGAAATTTTACCATACATTCTACTAGTAAAAAATATGGTAAAATTTCAAAAAAACTCTCATAAAATTCTTCAAAATGTCACTTTGTCCCACGCGATTACATGATTTTCGCGATAAACTTGAAGAGAAAATTCTCTCCGTGTACACGTACATAACACAGGAGAGATAAATAGAATAATAAATGAATAAACGCGGAAATTTTTAATTTTGATTGATGTCAAAAATAATTCCAATTTTAACTATTTACAAATAATTTCAGATATATTGAGAAAAGCCGAAAGTCTTTTTTTAAAACACAACTAAACATTTCCTTAAGATTCATTTATTTACTGCTACGAATGCAGAGTTATATAAAAATTAGAATTTCCGAATCGGCGAGGTTTTTCTGTGAACAAACTTGCGCACTAGATGGCCTTCCTAGATTACAAGTCATTTTGATTAATCACATTACTACAATTTTTGTGGAGTTTATATGCAATCGAGGCCTTGGAAGCAATGTATCATTTATAGCATTCATTCGTTTAATTGTTATAAATGTTTAATTATTCTTTGCTTACTTCCACGCGAAACATATTACACGATACAGTTAAAAATGAATATACCGAGAATGCATAACATTTAAAGCGTCTTGATCATTAAGTTTTTATCCTCAAGTTTACTCAATGGTTTTTCTCTAAAAATTTATACAAGGTTTAACTTGCAGTTTCACTTCACTGACCTCCTGAGGAACGTTGCGAATTTTTGTTGAATGCCACTGAACTTTAAAACTACACAACTGGAAGACGAAGACATGCACGGCGCTGCTACTATGGATAACGAATCTCGTACGAGGAAAGACCCTGACGAATTGAACGTCACACAGATCGAGAGGTCGAAGATCGTCAAATGAAAACAGTGGATTCTTCCATATCGGTCCAAGGAGGCTCTCGGACTGGCCGAAGATCCGCGACGCAGCTGGTAGTCGTATCGATAAAGAGACATCTTGGTTCTTCGAACTCGTGCATTTAACTGTTACACCGTAGAAATATAAAATTCGCAAACGGACATTCCCACATATATATCAAGGAGAGAAGGATTTTTATAAGTGAAGAAATATATTCGGAAGGGATTGATTGCTGAGAAAATTGAGTGGAGCCATGCAGATCAAGGATAAACGAGTTGTTATGACTGGTGCAGCAAGTGATGCGGGTCTAGCATTCAGCAGAGAGCTGCTACGAAATGGTGCTTCGGTATGTAATTTAACGCAGCAATAACATTGCATATGATATTAATAGATAAATGGACGCGGTTACGTAAAGAACCAAGCGCCATTTTCATGACTTTTAGTTTGCAAAGTGACCTGCGCTACATTATGCAAAATAAGTGGAGTAATAATTTGGAAATAAACTGCAAATTCCCCTATGCAAGTGATAGAAATAAATATTTCTTCCAGATGATAGTTATGATCGACATACGGCAGTCTCTTGGAGAACAAGCTGTAAATAATTTAAATAGCGAGTTCGGCCGCAAACGTGCTGTATTCCTCCACTGCGACGTGGCGAATAATTCCGAATTTGACGGTAAATATATCACGAGTTCGTTTTATGTTGTGCTTTCGTAACACGTATATGGATAACTGTACAAAGCCGAAAATATTGATTGCTGCAGCGACGTTCAAAGAAGCGCTCAACATTCTCGGCGGGCTGGACATTTTAATTAACAATGCAGGCGTCATAAATGAAACTAACTTTTCCGAAGCCATCGATGTCAACGTGGTAAGGTGTTATTTTCAACTTCGTAGTTGTTATATTAATTTTAAGAAAATATTGGCCACGAAAATCAGCAGAATCCTTTAAGTATTTTCTGATTATAGGACGCTTTCTACAATCAGAATATAAATATGTAAGCACATTTTCAAAAGTGAGTTAAAAGCGACTTGCTAGAAAAACGAGGCTTAAATGTGGCTAATTGTGCCTTGATTAAAAATGAAATCGCACGATAAGGTAATTTTAGATAATACGACGTTTCTAAATATTAACTTCACCATTGTAGACAGCTGTGATTCGTGGCACTCTTCTGGGGGTTCAACAAATGCGAAAGGACTCCGGAGGCAAAGGTGGTGTCATCGTAAATATTTCGTCCATCGCCGGTTTACGAGCTGTGTCTCAACTGCCGGTGTATTCTGCAACAAAGCACGCCGTGGTTAGTTTCAGCCGTTCCTTCGCGGTACGTATTTACGTTGAAAAATGTAATATACAACAAAATGACAATTATAACAAATAACGAAGAAATATCCACCTTTGGACAAATGAATTTTTCGAAAACCACGACAAAGTCATTTAGGAATAAATTTCTCCCGGCATGCAATACATTTCTGATTTCAGTCTTCAAACTTAAATTTCCACGATAATTTTACATTTCTAGATTTAACATTTTATATAAATTTTACAATAAAAAGATGCTCAAGAGAGAGATCATCGTAATCAGAAATTCTTTTGTTCACAGCAACCTTATCACTACCAGAAGACTAATGTAAAAGTAATTGTTCTGTGTCCCGGTTTGGACGACACACCCGTCTTGAAAGATTTACCGCAGGGTATTTCGAACGCTGATATTTTGCAGAATTATCGACCTCAGAGGTGAGGCCGCCGCTAATCCATAATTAAGGTGTTCTCGAAACTGATATAAAATATTGAAATAAAACTTTGTCGTCAGGGTGGAAAGCATAGCTCATGGATTGATATATGTAATTCGATGCGCGCAGAACGGCAGCGTATGGATCAGCGAAGACGGAAAACCGGTTTACGAGGTGCAGCTTCCCGACACTCTGCCGCAGAAAACCGAGGTTGACGCGAAGGCTTAACCGCTAATATAAAATCGATCGACAAATTAAATATTCCGTATGTTCACCATGCAACGAATAATGTTATCAAATAAAGTAACACTCCTCTACAAAATATGTCGTTAGATAAAATCTGATCAATAGAAATTGTAATATGTTATGAAATCTGTAACAAATATATTGCTATTTTGTACACAATGGCATTTTTACTGTTTAAATGTACATTTATATTCTTTTCAAAGTGAGACGTAACGGAAAGTACAGTAACAATTTGCAACAAAGTAGTTTGCGTTAATTTTGTAACTAACTTTCGCGAGACATTATTAAATTTAAACTGAAGCTAGTTAAATAGATAGATACTATATGTATAACTAAAGATTTTAGTCTTTGAATAAGTAGAAATAAAAGAAATAAATAAAATCTTTTGATATCTCAAGTAATGTTAAAGACTCACGAAATTAAGTTTTCCTTCAAGTAATTCATGTTTCATATTTTTGTAATAAAATTGTAAAATGTAACTTATTATTGTATAATATGTTGAAGCCATTTTTTAAATTATATAATATAACAATAATTCCTAATATAATTTAGTCTCAGAGTTTAATTGTATTTTTATGGATAAATGTCATCCTATATTATATTTTGGATAAGATTTCTTTTAACTGTACATTTGTAAAACGCAAAAAAATGTATTTAAATGTTTAAAAAGATTAATTGTTTATCTTTTCAAATCACGATCCGACCGCTGCACTGCATAGAGAATAAAGAAATCACATTTAACGTCGATGTATCATATAGTAAATAATATTCCATAAATCAATCAGACTAATTACGCTCGGTACATGGAGACTGTAATCTGATCTCTTGCAGACACTCGTATTTACGAACCGCTGCATCTCCGGATCGCCGCAGCGGACGCATAAAACCCACACAGGCGTGAATCTTTTCAGTGCAGCACGATAACTAAATAAAAACCGCGCGAGAAATTACTTTCCTTTTTGATTCTCGGAGTAAAGTTCGTTCGGAACCAATTCATACCGGTTATAGTATCGGCTCGGAGCTGACAATGCGCTCATCTCTCGGCTGATTTATCGTCGGCACGACGCCGACCGGACGTTAAGTGCGCTTTTTCCATTGATAAGATGCAACGAGCACGAGCTGTGCGCACGTCAAGCTCTTATCACCATTTTGTGCCACACGACTGCACCGAGTGCGTTATTTCTAAAGTTCGCCGACGCCACGAGGCGATTGATAAGCGTCTCATAATTTGCAAATAGCAAAGATGCAGCCTCTTCTTCCATCTGCATTGTCTGTTCTTCATATTTTCATATTATTCATATAGTAAATCGATAATGTATCTGTGTTTAACTGATTAGCGCCAAAGAATCTACAAAGGAGAGGAGAGGACATATGGGACGTCCTATATTATATAACATAAATTTGATAGAGATACAGAGATATAATAATGTTGTACAATAGTACAAAGATTTGTCTTCTTCTGTTAACCGTAATTCGACTTGGTTGATTTTTATAAATATTCGCCACGTGCATCCTCAAATCCAATGGAAAGAATGGAAACCTCCCACAGAAATCGCCGAGAGGTCATTTGATTAGGGCTGACTGCTGATGATAAGGCCATCGATAACAATTTATCGGCTTGCTTATTACGTCTTCCGTTGCAGCTACACTTAACGTGACCGATTCGAACAAAAGTTATATCATCCAATGATCGTCGCGATCACCCGGAACCGTACGATAGTTTCTCCGAGTTTGACCTGTCGTAAATCATTACTTTTTTTTTTTTGCAAATAGTACACACGCATACACCGTGCCACTTACGTCAAAATTGCGCCATGCGCCAGTGTTCTGTAAATTTTCAGCTGAACACGCGTTTCTGTTCGTATCAATTCGCAAAGATAATGCGAGCACACTCGAATACAATCATCTATGTTAAGTGTCTATTTCTTTTTCATTACACTTCTCTGCATTTAAGAACTGAACGCAACGCGTGCAGTGCGCTTAGACCGCGAAAGAAGAGAGCGAAGAAAGGAGTCAGAGTGAAAACAAAAATGCAGAATTTAATATGGAAAATAATTTGGAAAATAAATAAAGTACGAAGACACTGAGAGCTGCAACGCGATACGCTGGGAGCGTGAAAGGGTGAAAATATTCCTTCCCGTTGTACGGTACAGCGAGTAATCTATGGTAACCAGCCGGCTCCGTCCCTCGCGACGTAATATCATAAATTTCTGTTAACGGAATGGCCCGACGGGGTGAGATCAAATATGCAAAACAAAAATTTCGCAGGGAAACTCTAAAAAAAAAGTGCACAGCTGGATTGTGCGTTTTGATAAATTTTCATTTCGCTCGCCACTTTTTTAAACGTTGACCACGTCCAGTGCATTTTGCGCAGCTCCTTCAATTAGCAAGCATTTCTTCATACATGAGTAAACGAGTAATCGTTCCTAGTGTAATACTATCCTTCTTTCAGAAAATAAAGAGTATTTAGTATTGTATTAACACAAATTTGTGTGGACCGTTTGGGACATGTGATATCTGTTAAATTTATCACAAACTTTTCAACTGTGTGTATCTATATAAATATAGTAAAATAAGCTGCCATAAGCCGTGGTGCGCAAGAAGCAATCGCATAACATTGTTGAAAATGCAATTACTTAACGGTTCGCTTGCTTGGTCTACAATTCGCTGTAATACTATACATTGTTTATTATCTTCGAGTAAAACGAGAAGTGCGCGATTGTTTCAAGGAGTGCCTCTCGGCCTGTGTCCGGTATATCCAGTATCAGAAGGCGCATTGCTATGGATTAATTAGCCTCCGCGGAAGGGGTTAATTAGGGGAAGCGCTATCGGGAACATTGAAAACGACGAGACACGATAGACTGGTTAGTCTAGCGAGAGGGAAGATAAGAGGCACAATGAGAAAGCAGAGGATCGCGATAAATCGGTAAAGCGCAAAAATTATTATCAAAAGTAATCTTGTTAAATAAGTCATTTCATTCTTTTGCATCGTTGCTGCTTCTCATGCCACGATATTCGATAATTTTGACATATATTTCGCTCCGAGTTAAAAACCTGGGAGTCCAGCGGCAGCTGGACAAATCAGTAAAAATTCTTCGAGAAATCATTCATCGGCAAAGGCTCGTTATATTTCTCTTGTATCAGTAATCGTGCATATAACTGTGTACCTCTTACGAAAATAAAACGACAAAGCCAATCAGTCTAACGAATCTAACGATATTTCTTAACGCGTCTACATCTGCTTGACAAAATGGAATTGATCGTTAGATTTCCAACGCCGTTGACGATCTCACTGAGAGATGGAAAAACTTTTTTTCTTTATCGTAATTGTTCGATCTGCTGTCTGTGTAATCTGCAGCCCGGAGTTCACTTTCGCCCTCCGAGACATCCCCCGCCACAACGGGAACTGGAGTCGCAATATCGCGGAATCCTACATCGTTGCTTATCGTATATAAATACCGTTCGAACGGTCTCGAAGTTCAGTCAAAACGTATCGCATTACCAGCACGCACTCTCGATTCTTCGGTCTCATCCCACGAGAATTTAAGTGCGTCGGAAATTGATTGTATCCATTTCTCGAATATTCAAAGAGATTTCGTTCATGGCGAATAAAACGGGTAGGTCCTGATCCTTTCACCGAAGAGCATGTATATTCTGAACCTCCGCGATCCACTGCAGAGCATTGCACAGTGCTTTGTTACGAAAAATATGCAATCTAAAAAATAAGTGTTGTCGGTTATCTTATTTTTATGAGTTATAGTTAATAATTAATAAATTTATGAATAATCTTACAATTTGATGAATTTTTTGAGATAAAAGATTACACGAGGTTCACTGCGCGTAAAACAAAATAATTGTCAATGAATCGCCAGGCTGAAACATATTTTATATTATATTAGTATAATATATGTTATTGAAAGGATTAGTTTTCTTTTTAATGAAAGTGAAGTGTCTTCTTCTTTTAAGTGAGTTTTATGTTATAGATCCAAGTTTGAGAATCCTCCGCCGACGTTCATCGGCGTCGGAAAGGGCGAAAGAGATAGAAGCGATCAATGGCATCGTTTCGGGAAAAAATGTTTTGATAACTGGCGGTGCGGCAGGATTGGGACACGCTTTCCTTACCCATTTCTTAAAGCACGGAGCAAACGTATGTTCACAATTGAATTCGCAATGAAATAATTAATTTTCAGTTTAAAAAGATTTACAGGAAACTTACTTGAATCAGTATTATATAAATATAATTCTTTATAACTCTACAAACAATATATTTATTTACACAAAAATCTATATTTAAGGTTCAAACTTTATTGTGCAAGTGTGTGATGAAAGCGTTTTTTTTTATCGAAATCAATATATTAAAGAAACATTTATAATCAAGAACGCTCTTGCACATCACCTCTTAATTGGATTAATATTACTCTGCAAATTAAACCCCTCTTTGCTGTTAATTAGATATAAAGTGCTTTCCTTCTAAATCTACAGCATGACATTGACTATAGTATTTTACGAAGTGTCGCTATCTTTTTCGGTAGTGGCGTTTAAATTTATTTCACGCGTATTTGTTACAGAAAATAATTATACTGGATATCGACGCCGAAACCGGCCAACGAATTGTGCTCGGCATCGAAAAATCTTGCGGCGAGAAAAAGGTGCAGTTCATACACGCCGACGTATCTAATCACAAGCAAGTGACTGGTAAATATGAAGCAAGATTCTCAAATCGCACATAGATGTTTATTCGAGAATTATAATCGCTGAACTTGCCGAAGTATCGCTCGCAGAGTATCTTATTTTGTCTGTACCGATTTATAGAGGCTTTCGAAGAAGCATCATCGCTATTAGGAAACATTGACATCGTGATAAACAACGCCGGAGTTTTAGACGAGCGAAGATGGGAGAAGGAAATCGCGGTGAACATTGTGAGTATCGCTGATAACAGTTATTCGATTCATTAATAATTTACTTCACCTGTAATGTTTTCATTTCCTTATTCTGCGATATTTTCCCCTCTCAAAACTCTCGCAACGTTTTCTTCTCGGATTCTCCAATACATTTTATGTAATTTTATATTTCAAGTAACTTCGTGGCTTTTGTGTCGTCGTGAAATGATTTTGGCAAACTGCACGTGAGAATATACGGAAAGACTGAAAAATAAATATCATTGATAAGTAACGAAAATGTAATGATCAAAATAGAGAGTAGACTCTAATGTGTTGTGTGTGTGTCGATTCTAGGGAGGCATGGTCAGCACCGCGATGCTAGCTATAAAATATATGAGCAGAGATACGGGTGGTCACGGTGGCATCTTGGTGAACGTGAGCCAGCATACGGATATTCGAAATACAGCTCAACTTCCGGTTTACAATGCCACGAAGCACGCTGTCATCGGTCTATCGCAATCTCTATCGGTAATTACTAATTGTACAGAAAAAAATTCAACGCCGTTAAGTTTAAATCACCCTAAATTACCCCTTGTTACAAATAATCTCCTGATGTTCGTACACCGTTATCTATAAGCGATCTTGGGTGCGCTCGAGGAGCTATTTGGCGCTGAAAGCGTCATTCTGTCCTCGTTGCTCATAATAGAAAGACAGATAACATTTTCAGCGTTAACAGCGCGCTCCGCGAACGCACCTAGATATGTAGATTATTGTAGAATGCTGAGACTTTTAATTTTCATTATCCACGGGTTTTCACAATCACGTTTACTCTTCAACAGGATCCTTATCACTACGAGAAGACCGGCGTTACCGTGATAACTTTGTGCCCGGGACTGACGGAAACCGCCCTGACAATAGACAGCCCCAACAGACTTCTTTCCAGAGTCATGAAGGCGGATTTCGTCAAAAATCTTGAACAATTCTCGATACAAACGTAGGTCACCGTTAAAACTGTCTTTATGTCTAATGTTCGACAAGACCATGAAATAGATTAGCCAGATAAACGCTGGATGACATTCCTGCTACAAAATTAATACACTTTCGCCTCTTCGACAAATAATAATTTTCACGATAAATTTCCAACATATTAATCGCAAGTGAATTATTAATAAGTTCTTTTCTCCAAGATAAAAGTTTCCTTAGGTGAAAGTTTGAGGTACAGCTCTGAGATTTCGGGATATAGCTTGTAGATCCGACCCTCAAGCAAACGTTGCACCTCCTCCCGTGCCTACGTGTATAATCGCTTAATCGGCAAAGATAAATTTCTCAACGGCAATCGCTAATCTAATCTTGTTTTTGCAGGCCTTACGTAGTCGCGCAGGGCCTAATGACGATCTTGAGGATCGGCGAGACCGGCAGTATTTGGGTTATCGAGAGCGGCAGAGCGCCTTACGAGGTTTACATGCCGAATCCGCGTACTCTGCGACGTCACTACAAGAACAACTTCCCACACTCCGTCGACACTAAGGTCGCGGGAGGTCGCGCGATAAGAGAAGTCTGCGACAGCACGAGGACAGGCCTGATGGGCTGCGCTTGATAACCGGCAAGCGCGCGACCGTGATCCCCCGCACTACTTGGGGCTGGAAATCTTCTTCAATCCACGTGGCGAACGTCGTCCGAAGACCTCGTGAAGATAATTCACGCGTAGATCAGTATAACCGGAAGTGCATAACGAGATGCAGTCGAAGCGATATTTCGCGGAAAACAAGGTGTCCCTGAGATTCTTCGCGGGTCGTTTTACGTTACAAAGTTTCTCACGCATATTTCCTGTTTTGTCATCCGACTGTATTCGCTGGTTCACGTTTCCATCGTAATTTCCTTAGACACACGCATACATGTTCGACCTCCATTTTTATTCTTTAATCGAAACGCCAGATTGTACGAAGATGCCTGTGATAAAAAAACAAACAATTTTATAATAAACGTTTTGAAAAGAATGACACATTGGTCCGGAAGTAAGGCCTTAAAATTTCATGCTTCCGTGTAGAACTTCTTTCAGGACTAGCTCATTGTATGTACGTACGCTGCAAACTACAATTGTATTCGTTACAAATGTGTACGGCGAATCTCGATCACGGTGATACTGGAAGTTTTATGTTTCTAACGTGTCAGTAATTTGTGCGGACGATTACTTCCGAGCCATGCAAGAACATCGGCACGAGAAAAGTCCGTATGCAAAAACATAATTGCTCCCAGTGAGTTTGAGTTGTACGAACTAACGGGACCCGTTTAATCTATGGAGGGTGCGATATCGCGTGTAATAAATCATTCTAGTTTACTGTGTCGCTTATCAAGCATTTGAAACACTGGATATAGCGCATGGAAGACGCTGTTTCTTTTTTTTTTCTCTCTACACACATTCTAATCACACATGTAATGCGCAGCACACTTTGGTATCGCCAGACGCACGTTAGTCTTACCAACAACACATGTTTTCGAGTTCCTATTAAAGACGTTATATAATTTTATTTACATCCGAGTACATCTTTTTTTTTCTCGAAACTGCACAACAGCTCTCGCGTCTCCGAGTTGCTTTTTCAAATTCGCGCAATCTAGCATTTAAATCGTCATATCTTTCGTCGCATTTTTTTTTGCACACTCATCGAAGGGGTAGCGCGGGAAAGGACGATCTGCCTTATACAATTTCACGAGATTACAACTTGGCGGGAAAATGTCCCGTTTCATTCTGATCATTGGAAAATAGTGTGTAGGAGATCGGAAATGACACGACGACGTGTTATTTCATCATTTCAGTATTATTCAGTATCGGGAATCACAATATATCCGCTGTACAAAACAAAAATCCATTCTCGCGTACATTATGAATTGCTCTCACATGCTCTCAGGCATGAAACTTAAAAGTTAAATTTTACTCCCTGCATCTTTTTCTTTCATTTCTATTCCCGCTTATTTCGTTTCATAGTCCTATGTTTCCTTTTACTTCTTCTCACTGCATTTTCTCTGATAGCCTATTGGAGGTTTGCTTACCAGTTATGTAAATCTCAAGTTACGTTATGTGTTTATGTGTGTATGTAATATCTGTACGAGTTGGGGACTCCGTGTGAGCCATAGAAAAATAATAGTCGCAAATAATGTTCTTATTCTGTTTGTTTCACGTCTTATATCTTTAAGGACATTATCATGCTTTTAGTCTTACACCATTCGCCATGTAACACAATTCTACGCGCAGTGTCGTCGTGCACCTAAAAGGATTCTTCGAGAGCGTAAATAGTCCATTTACAATTCAATTACAAGTGAATTGTTTTTATTAACACTTTGAAAATCCTCGTCATGAGCTTTTGATTTTATATGACTCGACCACATTTAGGTCTTCTCTTGCATACAAAGTATCGTTCTTGTTTCAAGATTAGAACCAATTACTTTTACTTGAATATACATGTATAGTCGTTATTTTACATAACATTCTAGTGGAAAATTGTCACTTAATAATAAATTATTATTTAAATATTTTCTTATTGTATACATGTATGTCAAATAAGAACGTTACTTTGTACATACGTAGGCATTATACTAGTTTTAGAGTTCACAGAACAGAAAAAAAGAAACAAAGCGACAAGATGTAATTACAAGTATTTAAAAAAAACTCATAACAGCATTACATACATTGTATTTGATATAATTACTGATTATAACATAAACTTATAATTGTACCAATGCAAACTATTCTGTGTCGGAGCAATCGAGGAATCCTTAATTGCAGAACACGATGACAATTATGCAACATGATTTTGAACTTAGTTACTTACAATAAGACTGACGCTTGCAGCTTTCGTAATTCTAGATCCTTCGTAATGCAGATCTTGCGAAGAGTAGGCGGACTGCCGTAAGATTACAATTTAATAATACAAAAATTTTTTCATATGAACTGGCTTTCGCTTATTTCCCCACTTACATCCGCCCTAATAAAATTATACGTTTACATGAACTTCGAGAACTCGAAAAACTTTGTCTGCGTACACTCAAAAAAAAAACCAAAACAAAAAATATAATTTTTTTACCAGAGTTGCCTTGTACTATACCTCACAATGTTCCTATTCTCGACAAATGCAATTAGATACTATCGATTTTTACATACTTTGAAGAGAAAGTACTTTTATGTACGTCTGTTGCCATTCACTTCCGATATACGGATACAAGCCAGCTATTCCATAACGACCAGTATTATCAAGTCACCATCACCATAAAGCCATTCCATAATTATTTTATAGTCAAGTCGTGAGAAAACCGGACTGAAGAATGATCACGATTGAATTGTATTTTTTTTTTACCTAACTACGAACGGACACACCATTTGGTTTGCTCGAAGCGGTTTCAGATTTCTTCAATGAGAATTTTATTACTATATATTTAAAGTAAAATTTACGACTAGCCCCGACACAAGGGAATTTCCTCCCAAATTTTTTAGACATCTGAAATCCATAAATAAGTATCAATATAAAAAATAAGGAACGTTTTAATCATAATTGACTTCGATTCTGATACAAAAACGTTCGATTCTTTTAACGCCAATTCATCGTGATCATTGTCGACCAAGCGGTAAGAAAATTTGTCTCTAAAAGTACCTTCTCCGATCAATCTAGCCGCAAAATATCGATGCAAAGTCATATGCGCCAGCAATGTCCACATGTGCGATTCTTGTCCCCTAACCACCGGTTTGGCGATTGCAAACACGCTCCGTTATATAATATAATCTACATTTAATCCGGCCGAGTGTATCTTTTGTTACGCGATTCGACTGCCAAATTCTAACCCAAATCAGTCCGTAACAGTAGAGCACATATCGTAAAAATCTTAATCTATGGTTGTGTATACTTATACATATCAGCGCATCGCTTCTTCCCTCCGGGTTTTATTACTTTTTACTTTTTTTTTCGTGCCATACCGGTGACAAATTACATTTTTTTTTTAATTTAGATCGCCTGCGACTGAGGCAGACTGTTCGTTGGTCGCGCGATTTTGACTCCCCGTGTTATTCTGTAGTTGGTTAGGGGGTTTGCGATTACCGCCCCTGCTACCCCGATAGCCACCGCGAAATCCAGCGTTATTGCCACCGCCACTGCCTCTGTACATGCCACCACCCATACCACGGTAGTAACCACGGCCGCGGAATCCACCGCGTCTCGTGGAAGCCACGCCAAACGTTTCTGAATTCAGTTTCCGTTCCGTTCTCCAATCCGTGCGTTGGAATCGCCTGGAAATATTTTTACATTTCCAGCGTCGTATGTAAAATATGTCACGATGCAAATTGCAAAGTTATATCGATGACAGCGATTGAAAATTCTAATGCAATAGTCGACTCGTTTTGCGAAAGCTTAACAATTAATATACATCTCGAAATTTACAAAAATCAGGCATAAAGAGACTTAAATACTCTTCAAGTTTTAATCCTTTAGCTTCATTCAATTTTGGAAAAAAAAAATGTATCATAGTTGAAATTCAGTTGTAATTATATCCACTAAATATTCTCTTGATAAAACTTACCCTTTACTCCTTTCAATAGCCTCACAGCTAATATTGTCAAAGAATGATTTTGACTTATCATAGTGAACAATTTCCGGCTCCTCCTCAGGCTCACCTTCACCAGCACCAGTCTCGTTTCCACTGTCGTCTTTCTTTTCACTGTCTGCGCCGCCATCGATCTTCGCTTTCGCAAATTGCGACCTACAATACGACACATCAACGTATGAATTATATCACTAATGCCCGTTTCTACCAATGCAGATTAACTTTAATCTCGGCTTAAATTACTTCCCGTCTTTTTCCAGTTCGTAAAACTAGAAAAAGATACAAAGTAAGCTGAACCGAGATTAAAGTTAAACTGCGTTGGTAGAAACGGGTATAAGAGTAACATAATTTTAAGACAAGGCAATGTTAATGCGATGCGTAAGCGATTCGTATTTTGTTGTAATTACGATTGCTTTAAACTCGCACTGATTTACTTTTGCATGGTGTCCACATTGGTCACTTCAACAACTACTTGAAATGAATCCGGCACGTAACCATGCAGAACCAATCAATATCATAGTGAAATCAACGTCACGTTTATACTCACTTCATTTCCTCAAACTGAGTGTTAGCTTGTTCGAAATCGTAGTCATTATCGAACTTCAGTGTATTCTTAGCCTTGAGACCAGTGTTATTCGCCTGATTCATACGGAAACCGCCACGTCCTCGGCCTCCCCGACCTCTCATGTTGCCACGATTCACCCAACCACCGCGGTTGCCTCGACCACCTTGCATGTGACCTTGATTGGGGCCGTCTTGCTTCATCATGTCCCTCTTCGCATCGTTATACTGATTGTGAGACATACCCGCGTTGGTTTTGTTACCGTGGCTAAACATACGTCACGAAACATCAATTATAGTTTCCAAGTTTCAGCTGTACCACCCGTTTATCATAACAATATCAATATAGAATCGTTCTTGTGCAACTAAACAGTTTAGCATTGTAAAATAAATGGTCTCTAATCTAAAGATCCTGGAAAATGCATTGTTAGTACAATATATGTACATCCTTCATGGCTTTATTATGAAAGAGATATAGAAAAAGATTAATTTCGCTAAACGCAATACCTGTCATGATCTCGACGAGGCGGTTGGACGGTCCTGATATTTGTCTTGTCATTCAATTTGCCAATGTTATTGCCCTGCTGCTGTTGTTCGTGTCCTACCTGAATACCCTGATCCATGGTCGGACTTTTCCTCGTTAATAAGGACGACGTAGGAGTGGTAGATCGGGAACCACCACTGATGAGATCTAGCACACCTATTATCGCAATATGAATACGTCATACAATGTCCACTTTTGTTAGTTCAGGGAGACGATAGCCGACCAAAACTGCAAGCGAGTTCAACACGAAACTTGAGTATAAGAAAATAACTTAAACATACTTTTCATTCCCAACTTTTGAAATGAAAGAGAAACCGCTACTGACTTCTACAAAAGTTTCGCGTGTCTAATATAAAAGAAATCTCTCGAGGACTTTTAAACAATCATTATTGTTTACTGTTTATGCTATTGCATTATGACGAAGGTGCATGGAGTACAATTGAGATGTGCGTGCAGATGCAAAATAAATAACAATTTTAAGAGAAATTAAACGTAAAGCCAAATTACATAAAGATACAGACGAAAACTTTTACTGCGTATTTTTATTAAAGACTCCAAAGTTTCAAAAGTATACAAATTTTATTACACATATACAAGTGCGCAATAGCGATTCAAGAAAAATTATATATATCATAAAATGCATAGATACGTGGAAAATAAGCAAAGCAGATTGAAAATAGCAAGATGTAAAAAAGAAATCTACGTAGGAGTGCATGGCGTCTGTGCAACAAAGATAGTAGACTTTTGTTAGTGAGACAGTTCTAAATTTCATACATCACTGTAATATCAATTGTAAATAATGTAAAAAAAAGGAGAAAAAAAGTTAGAATGCATCGTGTATTCGCAGCTACGCATACTTGGGCCGCTCTTTTTTTTTTTTGACAGCGTGTAGCTCGGTTAGAACCAGGCATTACCAAAACAGAAGCAGCAAGAGGCATGCCAGCAAAGCAAGGGATACTTCATAGCAAAAACAGTTACCATCTTCCAGAGATTGATCTTTTGGTAATGGGTCGATATTGGCCGTTGGCAGTGAGTTTGGGATAGAGATGGCATTGGGTTCAGCGGAGCCCAAGCTCAACTCACTTGGCTGTTTATTCATTGCTCCGCGCGGATCTCTAGCTGCGGTCGGCATTCCCATTACCGGGCCCATGGCTCCCATACCCATGCCATAGGGGGCACCGTATTGGCCACCCATCGGGCCCATCTGGCCCATCATCGGATGAGCATAACTGGGTTGCGGCTGATACGATTGCTGGCCCATAGATGGCTGCACCGTCATCTGCGAACAATGATAGTCTCGAGTCGGCTAAAATCCAACTGGCAAATTTACGCACAATCCATCTCGCGCTTGGATCCCGTTAACCAAATTTAAGGACGCGCTCTCTCTCTCTCGCGCGCGAAGGAGCGGCGAGAGAAAAAAAGTTGCATAAAAATAATTACCTGCACGATAGCCGGATCGTTGGGAATGGAACTAACATTGTTGACGACTCTGATGTCTTTGATGTCCGATCCGCGGAACAGGATGTACTCGTACACCTGGTTTTGCGGCGCCACGGGGAGTTGAGTTTCTCGATCCTCGGTGCCAAAGGAGCGCACTACGAAGAGCACAACAAATAATCTCAGTCGTTTCGAGCTGCTGCAACTAGAGACGCCGGTTACATTAACGTCGAACGGGTCGTTTATCACGAGACACGGTAGTGTCTCGCGCCAAGTATAAGCGAAAACAATTAAGCGATTAGCAGTACGTCGAATCGTCAAGTTACTACACCTAGTTATATTTCGTAAATAAAACAAACAGGCTTCCGCTTGAGAAATAAATCAGGCGTCTGGTGGTCAGGTCCTCAGGTCCTCGACGTTACAATTTACATTAATATTCGTCACACTTTGTCGCGCGCAATTTGTTACATAAAATAACAACTCTGTGCACCTATCTTGGAGTCCCTATCAATCGCGAGAAGCGGAATCTCCTATTTATACGTTTCTTTCACACGACTTCAACAGCACATTCCCGAGAATAATATTTTCCCTTTTATTCGAAATTCTCTCCAAAGTCACTTATCACCGTAGGACCGAGCTGGAAGCCAGGGCGGCAAGGCCATGTAAACATTCGGGCAGAACGAAAGAGACAAACATTCCGCGCAAACGTTACGCATACCAAAGCCAAATTCAAAATTACATCCTCAGCATTAATAACGTGCGAGGTGGCCGTTTCAAGTTCCTCCGGTGTCCCCGGAGGTCCGCGTTTGCGGTAAAAACGCCTCTCGCGTTACATTTTTTTCCCCAATTCATCTACTACTGTCGCGAGCGTCGATAACCTAGTCGTACGTCGCGAAAATCTCGCCGGATTCTCGCGCGATGCCGAACGACCCGCGACTCGGCGGTTTGCGCTGGTAAACGCGCGGGCGACGGGTCGCATTCCAGCGGAATGCGGGACGCGACACCGGGCCGGCCGAGGATACGATCGCGGGGTCGCCGCGGGCTCCGGTCGTTTCGCGAAAGCCGTCGAACCCGGGGCGACTCTCCTCGACGACCTTTCGGCGCGTCGGTAGGCGACGACGACGACGACGACGACGGAGCGGCCGCCCGGTGGCGGCGAACTCGCGCGTCTCCGAGCCCCCGCGTTTTCCCGCGTAGCCGCTGCGTTTCGCGGGGAGTCGCGCGAGGTGCGTTCCCGCGTCGTCCAGTGACCCGGCGACAGCCGCCTCCGCCGCCTCCGCCGCCGCCGCCGCCGGTCGCGAGGACACCGGCCGCTCCGGGCGTCGCGTAGCGAGGCTCGAGCGGGACGCGGGACACCGAATCTCGCCGGCGACAGTGGCGGCGGTGGCGGCGGCGGCTACGGCGGCGGCGTCGTCGTCGACGGCGGCCGTGGCGGCGGGACAGCACGGTGGATGCGGCGCGACGGGTGTCCATCTTGGATTTTTTCCGCCGTGCTCTACTCACCGTTAGCCAGGGCGATCGTGCACTCCTGCGGATCGACGGTGAACAGACGGCCCTCATAGCGAATATCCGCCTTCGAGATCAAGCTGATCTTGGAGCCCAGCTCTGGCATACCACCGCTCATCTTGACTCTGGCTCCGTCGCGCGCCGATCGATGTGATTTCGCGAGATTCACGACACCATCTGACGGGGCCGTCCAGCTGACAGCAATGGTCGACGGCGGACTGCCAAGAGTGCCAACGACGCGCGGCGCATGCGCGGGCGCCGCCGCGCCGCGGGGCCGTCCTCAAATGGCGAAAGTGTGTTTCCGCGTCTCGCGGGAGTGCGCGCTTTTGGAATGCGCGCTCTCTACCCGGTGAGGAAACGATTCGTCGAAACGCTGTCGAGTCGACGTCGACATTTGACAAATTGACGTCGATTCGACGTCAATTTGACGGTGCCAATGTCGACTCGGCATCGTCTCGACATCGGAAACACTGGGGAAAAGGGCCGCAAGACTCGAGACGCAAGCGGTTATCGCGCGTCACTCGCGGAGACAAAAATCTAAAACGCTAAACGCCGCCTGAAGGCCACGCGCCATCTCATATCGCGACGCACAGACGCGGAAGATGACACGCGTGCGAGTATAAAAAGTCCGCGTGTCACGGGCGCGCCTGCGCACTGTCTCGCCCGCGGACGTCCCGCCGCAACGTTGGCGAGCCTGCGGCGAGTCCGACCGAAGTCGTCCTCACGGTGTTCCCCGCATCGACGTCTTTAACCTCTCCCCCGGGCACCTCGCGAGCGATCCGCGACGCCGGAATAATCGCGGGAGGATTTTTCCAGCAGTCGCGAGGCTGACCACGGCTCGACCGTCCCAGCGGACCGTTCACTGACTAGCCTAACCCTCTCCACGCATCGCACCCCAGGCCCAAACATGGCGGCGACGTTAGGTCGGATTTGTAAATCGGGTCTTCTGAAGCCGAGTTACGGCACGTTGATCGGCCAGGTAAGTGGAGCGCCCGGTGCCCCGGGTGTCCCCCGGGTGTCCACGTGCGCGCGCGCGCGCCTCCCGCGACGATCGCCCGGCGACGTCGCGGCGTCGAGCGTCGACGGTAACCTGACGTCGGGCCGACACCGGAGCCGCGGCCCCCGCGCCGACCGAGACCGCGCGAGCCCGTGTCGGCTGCTAAACGTCACGCCTACCCTCGGGCGACGCAGCGGCGCGTCCGCGCGACGTCGCCGGGGCGCCCGGCGGCGCGCGACGCTCACCCGCGGCGACGGTTCCGACGGCACTTTAACACATGTTATGTAATAGCGAGCGAGACCGAAAATCGGGATGCTCCCATGCCGGATGCACCGCGCGCGGCCCAGGTGGCACAGGTGGAACGCGCGACGTCGCGACGTTACTCCGCGCGCGTGGATCGCGTCGCCCGACCGTAGAAGCGATTAGTCGAGCGTCATCGGTTGTCAGAGACGATTTGGAAGTCGGGTGTTATCACTCGCATCACCGAACCGTTTGTCAAGTGTATTCCTCTTGACTCGATTATGTCATGATCTAAGAACGGAACATATGGGAGGCCTCTCGACTTAATTTTTATTTACTCACTGGCAGGCTTCGTGGCTTCGTCAACATCGTTCGGCTTTGGTCGTGGTTCAACTTATTCTTTGCCTCCTTCTAGCTGTCCTGTTAAGAGACAAGGGACGATTTTAACTGGGATCGGAGTTAACGACGTTGGTGAGAGCCAGGGTCGGGCTGATGAGCAGAGAACAATCCGCGAGAGCTCGAGACTCCCGAGTCGTAGACGCGAGGCGGAGAAAAACTCAAGTCGTGTACAAGAGACCTTCGCGACCTGAGTTTTTTTCTGCCTTACAAGGCTTGAGCTCTTACGGATTGTTCGCTGCCATCAGCCTTGGCCAATGACTTGAACGGACATTAGGTAGACATTGGCCGACCTGAGTGCGATATACGTGTATAATATTCTATAACAGCTGTTTTGGGTAATATATAGACAAAAGGCGTGCATCTCTTTAAATGATAATTAAATTTAAAGCAATCGAAGCGAAATTTACACGTAGAGTTGTAAAAGAAATGAATGCAGAGAAATGCCTGTTGTGCTTAAACTTTGAATTTTGCTTTCCAGACCAGTAATTTTTCCACGGTGAGGGAATGGCCTCGGAGTCGGAAAGTGGTATGTGAATTTGATTTATCTTGCCCGAAGAGATATCCCAATCCTGTCCAATTCCTCAGCTGTCGGAAAAGACCTTGCGTTCCTTCAAACTGCATGCGTTAGTAAGTTAGGGCGAATTTACTCTTTTATCCACATTTCCATTATATGACAACGTTATATAACGTGCGACAGCGACATTACATAAACCACAGGACGATAAAAAGAAGTAATAATACGTCTAACATTTTTCATTTCAGTTATTGACATGCTTAGGAGTGACTGCGGGAGGCCTCAGTGCCTTCATCTACGCTCTAGACAGTTCGGTAAGAGCTACCGATTTGATAGCTCATCCTCCGACATACAAATGGGACTTTTATGGGTGGTTCAATTCATTAGATCATGCTAGGTACAGCTCTTTAGTATTCAAATACTAACGACGAGCTATGCAAATGTGTTATTAATTTGTATTTTCTAGTATGCGCCGAGGCTGGGACGTCTACAAGAATGTGTGCGCAGCCTGCCACAGTTTGCAGTACGTGGCGTACCGTCACCTCGTCAATGTTACTCATACCGAAGCGGAAGCCAAGGCTCTCGCGGAAGAAGTCATGGTACATCTTATAACATTAACTATGAAAAGTATCTTATTATATATTTATAATATTGTAGAACACAAGACTTGATAATAATTTGTGTGATGCAGATCGAAGATGGCCCTAATGAAGTAGGGGAGTACTTCAAACGTCCAGGAAAACTGTTTGATTACGTACCATCTCCATATCCGAATGAAGAAGCTGCTAGAGCGGCAAACAATGGTGCTTACCCACCCGATCTCTCTTACATGATCAACGCCAGGCACAATGGAGAGGTGAGCCAGTTCTGAGTAACACAGGACAAGAGTGCAGTAAAAAGTTAAATTTATCAAATCTATAATCAATCTTCATTCAAGTTTTTCTTTTTGCAAAAATACTCCTATTACCGTTACAACTTGTATTTAATTGGAAATATGTTCTATACGTATTTCAGAACTATGTGTTCGCTTTGCTGACTGGATATTGTGATCCACCAGCCGGTATAGTTTTAAGAGAAGGACAATACTTCAATCCATATTTCGCAGGTGGTGCCATTGGTATGGCACAGGTGAGTCATTCACATTTCTTTTTTTTAATTGAGGATTACATTACAATTAGCAATATATTTAATTTTGCACCCGTTAGCAATAACAAAAATTAATCGAGTCCGCTTCCTCATACAGGCTATTTATGACGAAGTCTTAGAATACGAAGATGGTACTCCAGCAACTGCTTCTCAAGTAACAAAAGATATTACCACATTCCTAATGTGGACTGCCAATCACGAATTCGATGAACGAAAACAAATGACCATCAAGGTAACGTGAAGGTCTCTAAATTCCATTTTACTCTCGCTCATCCTTCGTAATTCAATATTAATTACTTTACAGGGTATTGGAATAATGGCAATTCTCACTGCTGCTGCATACTACTTCAAGCGACACAAGTGGACAACTATAAAGAGTACAAAATTAATGTTTATCCCTAAAAAATACCGTTAGCCAATGGAAATTAACGCCGCGATGTTAGCTGTTGCGCTGGTATCAGAAAGTAGTTTCGCAATTTAAGCAATGTATCCGGCAAGCTGTGGCTCCTCTCCGAAGGTTCAAACTTATTCATATAGCATTTGACGAAGCGTCAATTTGTCATCACTACCAAAATCTGCTAAATTAAACATTGTACATAGTTATACCGAATGGAGTCATCGTCTGATTTAAATAAAATTGTTAAACATAAACAACGTTCACTCCTTTGACGAGACGCACCGTCGTATTTATTCGCAATCGACTCTCGCCAAGATACGGCAAGTATTCATCAGCATTTTCAAATTCAAAGGATTTTTTAGTTGGTTAAATATTATACTTGATTACCTTTGGTAAGTTTTCATCGTGCGATTTTTGCATTTCGATACATTTTACAGTTTCAATTAAAAATTTTTCTTCAATCTATTTTCGAAGAGCAACACGCGAGAGGAAATATCTGCAAAAGTCTCAACATGTTCACGAAGTCATTTGGCTTCAATAAAGCAACACATTGTTCAAAGCTGATTACAAGGCCGCTAACATATGTGGGTAAGAGACGGAAGAAACGCTCGCTTCTAAGGAAATCACTTTATTCTCCTTAAGCTTGTTTTCGTCCACATGGAGCTATAACGTGTTACTCTTTTTAATAGGATGATTTAAATTACACTATTATATTAACGATAGTGTAATACTGAAATGCAAAGCGGACAAAGAGGTATGTATATCTTTCGTTCGGGTAATCTGAAAAACTTTTACATTACATAATCAAACGTGGAGATATTGTGAAATCTACTTTGGTGGAACTTTAGGTATAAAGACATCTTTTCGCTTAATCGGTTAATATAAATCTCGAGATTACATTATAATAACATATTATTTTCTTGCTGGAACATGTTTCGTTAATCATCATCAATCATCAAGCTGCATATATATATATTTCGACCTTCAGCAATAATTCATGTAATGTATGTATATGTCGTGATTGCACTAAAGATTGAGACGCATCCGATTTTGCAAACAATACGCAGCTCCTGCACTTTACACAGTATATTAGATATGATTTTGACGATTGTAACAAAGATAATTCACATAATACATCAACCATGAAGCCCTTGCGTCGAACAGTAAGCACTATCATACTCTATAATCCTGTTGTATCTTAATAGACGTAACCAAATACACATGCAATTGTTACAACTTTCAATATATCCAGATACGATATCGATTGAAAGATCTCGTCAGTCAGCGATGCTTCATATATTGATGTACTTTGCCATGCAGCATTGTATTATCGTTCACTACATACGAGATAGTACAAATCAAATTGTCATTTATGTTATGCTTCGATTACAAAGCGACGTCTCCTCATCAATTACGAAACGCAATTCGTTTAGCGTGAAAGAGAGAGAGGCCGTTCTTAAGGATTACAAATTTCCCAAACACGTACGTTATTTCATTGTAGATGTATCGCTAGTTGAAACGGTACGCAGCGCGGAAAAAAGTAAGTGGACGTACAGATTCGTGGTCCAGAATTTTGCTACCGCAGCATCCAGTGAGAGAGAGACACACCTCTGCAAGAGATGAAATGGCACTTGCGCGCAAACAGAAGAGAAATCTTAAGACGGTTCGCAATACCAGGCGTTACTCTTCTTCTCTCGTTAAAAAACTTCAAAGGCATAAGTTACTCTTACTGATTATTCATTTTCATTACATAGTCTGTGTCTCCGGTTTCATGATTCAAAATATGACTTTTTTTCCGCTTTACATTGTACTAGCTTGAAAAGCTGGAGCGAAGTTTCCCTCGAACCAATCCGCATCCGCGATTAAATTACAACCTCGTGCGCGAACATGACGGTGTATGCAACGAAATAATCGGGGGTTTCGGAGGAATAAGACTATTATTTTTTTTTTAGTGAAAAATTTCAAGAGAGAACCAGCTGTGCTTGACAAATGCGTTTCTTTTTTGTCAATTTTTTTCTATCTAATCTATACACAAACTCGGTACACTCATTCAACTTTCCAAGCTATTACCTCCTTTCTTTCACAAAGCTGTTTTTTTTTCGTCTTTTTTTTATTTCTTTTTAAACATATATTTTCAGCGGGCACCCTTTTAATATTATTTGGTACCTTCGAATCTCGCCTCATGCTATTGCAAAAAGGAAGATATCTCTGTTCATACGGTTAGGCTAAAAAGTGCTGCCCTCCGGAGGCTGAGAGAGTTTCATATTTTCCTTCAACGTCATCAAACGACGGAGTTCCTGAAGAACTGTTTTAATTGTGTACTCCCGCTGCCACTTCGCAAGGACCGGGACACTGCGATTATCCACCTTGTACGGAAATGGTTACATATTAAGTACATGGGTTCGCTTTTCTTTAATCTTAACGTGCACGCACATCTTGTATACTTACAGCTCCAGTGGCACTGTTAATGCAATTCATATTGATTCTGCTTAAAAATCTTACATTAGGGGCATCATCTGGATATCTCTGACCGCAGTCAATTTTCAAACTATACATCCTATTTTCATACGGTGTCTAAAAAGATGTCAGAACAACATTATATTAATCACATATCAACAGGACATTACTTCAAGTTGCGATGTAATTCTTTTTTTCTTATACAACACATATAATCGGTATTAAAACTGTGCTTTTGTATCTACGACGAGCTGCGCAATTATTCGTTTCGAGTATCGCGGACATTTTATCTGATGCCAATGCTAGAAAAATCTTAGGGCCAGTTTCACAAACGTCGTTTAACCGCTAACCGAAGGTTAATTGATTCTCTGTCTCTTCTTGGATAACAAGATAGAGAAAGATAGGAAGTCGACTGAACTCTGGTTAACAGTTAACCGACGTTTGTGAAACTGGACCTTAGTGAATGCGTCCGACGCGAGTGTCGCGACGCTGGGCTCAGCTCGTGTCTGAAACGCCGCGCGAGCGGGACCCGCGCCGAACAACGGAGCAACGTGAGAGGACTGGACGGGAGATTCTTGTTATCGCGATGACGACAAACGAGCAGTAAAAGGTATTCTTACCCTAGGTGGTCCAATTATCATACCGGTCCAATGCGTGAGGGTCATGTCGTCGTCGTTTTCCAGGCCCCAGCTGATCGTGCCATCGCCCACGCCTTTCTGGCCCTGTTCCAGCTCCTCCAGGAGGCGAAAGTTTCGGGGCATGACTGAAACAGAATTCGGTCAGGGGTGACGTGCGGGAGCCCCAAGTCAACGATCCCCCGCCCCCGTACGGGTGTGTTCGGTGCGCGAGAGACTGACGGGAGGCTGAAAGAGAGTCGCTCAACCACACAGCGTACACTATGATCGTACAACCCCGCGCCATCCCCGTGCGAGTCGTAACGGATCCTCGACAACCCGGAAAATCCACGAGAGAAACAAGAAAAGGGGGGAAAACGGGGGGGATTTGTAACGGTACGTAGCCGCGCGGTGCACGTAGCAGCCCAGGTGTACGCCCGCGCGACGTTCGCGCCACGATACAGGTTAGGGCTCGGCGAGCGGGGATCGAGCATGGTTAACCTTTCCCGCCGTTCCCGAGTGTGACTCGCAGGCCTGGAGGCGAGTCCGCGACATCGCCGGAGGGCGATGTCGACTCGCGACGGAGGTAACGTCGCGTTTGCCGTCGCGACGACTCGGGGAAACACGGGGCGGGCAACGGCTCGGACGTTCTGTCAACGCGCGTGGCACGGGAGCGCCGGGTCCGCGGGGATCGCCCGGGGCCGTCGCGCCGCGCCGAGGCTCCGTTTCTCCGGCGGAAGGGAAGAAACGCGGCGACGGTGGAGGAGGAGGAGGAGGATCGACCCGGTCGCGCACCGTAGGGGCCGCCTAAACAAAATAACTCACCTACACCGCTGTTGGGTACCGCCATGATCTCGTATTTCTGGCGAGGCGCCGTATTTTTCTATCCCCCTAAAGTACAGGCGGGCGAACGCGCACCGTACGCGGGCGAGTCACTCACGTGGAGAGCTGGCGCGGCTTTCCTAACTGCGGCGCGAGCCTCTCATCACCCGTCGGACGTCGAGCGGTAATCCGGCGCGCTACGGCCGAGAGCGTGTGTGTGTGTGTGTGTGTGGGTGTGTGTGTGTGTACGTGTGGGTGCGTGCGTGCGTGGTGTGCATACGCGCCGTCCTCCCTATGCACCGAAAATACACCCCGCGCACGGGAAAGAGATTCAGCCAACCTCCGCGATCCGCGCGAGAGATCGTCCGTTCTCCACGGACTAGTCGCTCTCTAGATCTCGTCGTTCGCGGGCGAGCCGCTCTCTCGCGCAGTCGCGGGTCTAAGGCTGGTATTACATTTGTCGTACGACAAAGTTTTTAAGCGTATTGATTGGCTGAAGGATAGTAAAATTCTCGAGTATCTAGAAACTTACTATTCAGCGGCCAATCGACACGCTTGAAAAATTTGTCGTGCGACAAATGTAATAGTACCCTAAAGCCTAGGGCCGGTATTCATAGAAGGCGTGTTTTCTGTTCTTCCACTTGGTAAACTAGCGCGATAAATTAGAGTGAAACGAGCATATTTTTTCGCGTTCTAGCCTGCCGCACCGGTTCACCAGCGCAGGGAGAGAAAGCAAACCTATAGTCAAGGGCTCGATTCTTGAATTCGTTCGAAGGAGAAACGTGTATGCGAGCGTTCTGCTCTTGCAGAACAGTGGCAGGTTGATTGGCTATTACGCATGGCTTTTAACCAATCGACTTGCAACTTTTCTATCAGAGCTGCTTTCGCGAGAAGATGAAAATGATCCGGATTAAAATGACCCTGTGCTATGATTGGTCAAATCTGGAATTTCATTGAATAAAATTTCAATGTGATGCTACGAAATTTCAGATTTGACCAATCATAGCACAGGGTCATTTTAATCCGGATCATTTTCATCTTCTCGCGAAAGCAGCCCAGAGTACGATTTTCGTACGCGTTTCTCCTGCGAATGAATTCAAGAATCGAATGTATAACGTTACGGTTGACTCAGTTAATGGTTAATTAAAGCACAATCAACCGTCGAAAAATAATCAGAAATTCGTTAAATTTCGTTCTCTTTGAAACTTGCATGCTGATCAAGTACGATTTAATTCGCGCGCACTCATGGACGTAATAGAGAATGAATCTTCTACCAAATATAAAAGGGAATCATTCATATTTAATTTCTCGCAATTAATCGCATATATGAAATGTGCACTTACGTTTCGTGGCGTGATTGACCAAATTCCGTGGAATGATTGACGAGAGACTTCATGGCACTTTGTATAACACCTCAGAATTAATCACACGCGACAGGAAATTGATATGATAAATGCTAGTTAAAGCCTCAATTCAATATTTCCTGTATGATTCGTGTTTTCAACTTAGACACGGCCAACAAATTGCACTCGAAGCGACGAGAGATTCAATGCGACGATACAAGATATGTCCGAGCATCGATTAAAGAAACAATTATCGTCCGTAATTTTCACAATGAACAAGTAATTTTAAGTCAGGTATCTTGCGCGATTCACGTCCCGTCGATGAACCGAGCATCGATGGCAAATCGCGAGGACTCAGCGACCACGCGATGATACCGATTACTGATTATCCATCGCAGTTTCTTTCCGTAGTTTACTCGCAAACGCGTATCAGGAAAGAATATTACGATATACGGAACGGCACGGAGCACTAACCGACTCGTTCGACTGTCGCCGCGCGAATGATCTTGCACACGGCGGCGTAAACACCTCGGCCGAAAACCGAGCGCGGATTCCAAGAAATGACGTAGCGCCGTAAACACCTCGGTCGAGAACAATCTATCGAGTCGCGCGTAGCGAATATTCCGTGTGTCTTCGCGTCGGTTTTTGTAACGCGATTATTTCCTACGAGAATCTCGATTATCCCCTACGAAACGGGATCGCGTCCTGCGAGAGTTAAATTGGCATTAACATTTATCAATCGCGTTTAAGTTATTGTCGCGATTCGTAATCATATCGTTGATTTCTACGGTGATTTGTCGAGATGAATATCACGCGTAATTGGAAGAGAAAATGCGAGGAATTACATATATAAATTATTAGTTAGTTTCGATACATTCACGAGCGATAATACCTTTT